AATTTGTTTTAAGCTCTGGACCTTTGAACATGTATCATTTTCACTCATCCAATAGGTTATTAACGTCCGTTTTATTGTGGTAACCGAGATCATTAATCATGACCTCAAGTTCATGAATGACGTTTCACAACTGGGTTCTTTCAAATTCTTCGAGATTTCATCCATGAACAATTTTTTTTGGTGTCGAAACACTCTTTAAATTATACATATTTTTCGTTGAAAGTATTTTTCGTTGCTTGTATAGTTACGTAAGAAGCCCTTTATTATACATATTTTTTGTATAGTATTTATTTAAAAATAAGTAATTTCTTATTTATTTTTAATATTTAGTAAGTTATCTGAAAAAATATTGTATATAATCTAGGCAAATACAATAAAAGATTGGCAAATACGACAAAAGATTAATGGGAAGATGAAGTGCATTGAGGTGTGTTGAAGGGTGGATAAAAGAAAATTAAATGAGATGTCATTTATAAAATTTATTTTACTTCCTTCCTCTAGAAAATTATTTTCTCCATATTTTTTTTAGAAAAAACTTATTTTTCTGAAAGAGATATTTTTAAATGTTTTTAATTACTCAAATATGAAATTTTCTTGCATACAAATAACACCCTAACAATCTACTTTCATCTATTTTATTTGGTTTGTTCATTTTACTCCTCTGTAAATTATCTATTATAAAATCATGATCAAATTAGTGTTTTATCTTCGAAATTGTCTTTTCAATTCCTCTTTTCTTGTCAAGATTCTTTCTTGATCTTCATATAATTTTCTTAGTTACAATGCCATGAGATCTTTTTTCAATTGGAGGATGTTTGATAAGGTTTATACACAAGTCAAATAAGCCTATAAACACTTTTTTATATTTCTTAAATCGACAAATATGGTCTTAAGCCCACTTGCGGATTGTCCATATATGAAAGTGTTAAATATGTTCTTAATAATTTGTGCATATGGTATATGGCCCTTCGGTTTCTTCTTTATAGGAAAATCCTCAGAATACTTGTTTTATTGCGAATTTTCATACATAATTTTCAGGAAAATTTCATGTAACTCACACTTTTCTTATAGTGAACATAAGATTAGACGGGAAGCAATGAATCAGATACTCAATAAAAAATAACTCTGCAATCTACATTATTAATCTTTATATCAAACGACCCCTAATTATGTATAAAAGAAGATATCACATGTTTTACTTTTTATATAATTTTTATTAATTCTAAATTATGATTTTATATCGCACAATGAACCTTAAGGGATCATTTGGTAGAGTGTGTTACGAAAAATAATGCATGTATTAGCCTTGTGTATTACTAGTGTAACACCCCAGAAATTTTTTGAGCTAAGACTCGAACCATCCTTCGTTGTGAGTAGGATTTTACCGAGGAATTTAAAATTTCTTAAGTGTTAAGGTCACTAGATGTAGCACCTTGAGTTTCAAGAATAACTAAAGAGAGTTCATTCAAGTCATTCCTAAGTTCCTTTAAGTTTTGGGTCAACTTCAAACGACCATAACTCTTGGTACATGAGGAGTTAGGTGGGCTACACGATATCAAATGAAAGGTCTTTGAATTATCTTTCCAACGTCACCGAGTTTGCTAAATTTTGAGTGCCGAACACGTCCATGGTGTAGACTCGGGTCGTGACAAACTTGGTATTAGAGCACAGAGTTCAAGTGTCCTAGGGTGTCTATGAAGTTGTGTCAGTAGGATCTGATTTATGGTTGTGAGGGCTCCACTTCTATAAATGAGGGACTACAAACATTTTAGACTCTTAATCGAGCAATAGAGTAAGTCATAGAGATTTATTCATACTCGTGCGTCTCTCAGATTCATTCGACTACCCTTCATACTAGAGGTGGTTGAAAAGCAAAGTCAGTTCTTTATCAAATGAGTTTCTCTTAGAAAAATCTTGAGGAAGTCATGAGACTCTAGAGGGGCTTAAGAGAAGCCAATGAGTGAGTTAAGTGTTGAGTTTCAGAGGAATGCACTCATGTTCATATGAATCGTGCGTTGAGCTAAAAGCGAGTTGTACTCTTTTCCTTAAGCCTTGTTTCAGCTAAGATCCTTATGAGGAAGTATGATTAGAGCTTGGGTAGTATTTTTTCCCGAAAAAGTAGCATGAATTACGAAATTATGAGTTGTAGTAGTGAAAGTGCCCAGAGTTAGAGGAAAGTATGCAGAGGTTCAGTAATCAAAGGAAAAAAGATAGTGACGAGGCAAGCTATGTTATTATAGTCATGCACCCATTATGTTATTAATAAAGAGTTTTTCCCTTATGGGTAGACTAAGAAGTGATGAGTTTTGAAGATTCCATCATAGGAGGTAGAGTGTGTTATAGCTAAAAAGGAGTTTGTGATGAAGTGTCATTGTGTAGGTACTGACCAAGTATAAGCGTTGAATAGAAGAGAAGGAGTATACATGAGGTGATAGATCTAAGCTAGGCTTATGATTTTGAGGGAGAGCCCATTAATATTCAAAGTGTTATAGAACTAATTAGGCATTGATGTATAGTGAATGAGTGAATAGTACTCAAGTTGTGAAGGGAAATGTGATAGTAAATTGTAAGTATGAATACTAAGAGGTAAGGATTGACTATTTGTCATAAGGTCCTAGTGGACGAGTGTTTCTAAATTTGTATCCAGTAGTTGTAAGTTAGTATAGTAAGCGAGCAATCATATTGATATTTGGGTTTACTCATAAATATTAAGCTTGAAATTTTGAGATGAGTGTCATTATCAAAAGAATGACAACATGAGGGTGATGATGTTAGTCTTGAGATTTGATCTAGTAAACTTAACATAGAGTAGGTGAGAAATATAGGTGATTAACTGCAATAAATATGAGTGGTACAAGTGAGAGACCATAACCTTTAGACAAGGGCAATGAAGTGTGGCTCTGTCACAATAGTAATAAGAGCATTAAGAGGTGTGCCAATATGGTATGTTACCAGATGAGGTTCCAATTAAGTTATAATTTTCCATGTGTGCCTAAATAGCATAATTGAGTTGTCAATGTGGAATAGGTCCATAGCTTTCAAGTGTTAGCTTTAGACCTAAGGGGGAGATGATAAGATGAGAAATCAAGTCAAATGTTGAGAATTTATTGAGGATGCTGGTTAGTAGGAGTCCATGGAGTTGTTAGAGTACTAAGCTTGAATGTGGTGTTGTTAAACATTATGTGGTTCTTTATATGAGCCCAATGTGGTGGTAAAGAGTAATAGTTTTGGGATGAGACTTCCCAATAGAGAGGTATAGAACCCGAACCTAAGAATTTGGGTTAAGCGTGAGTATAGTAAGAGCATACCATTGGGCTCATACCTTAGTAAGAGTAACTCGTTCCATACCCAATCCAACCGTCATTTGAGGACGAATGATCCCAAGGAGATATTGTAACACCCCGAATTTTTTTTGAGCTAAGACTCTAACCATCCTTCGTTGTGAGTAGGATTTTATCTAGGAATTTAAAATTTCTTAAGTGTTAAGGTCACTAGATGTAGCACCTTGAGTTCTAAGAAGAAATAAAGAGAGTTCATTCAAGTCATTCCTAAGTTCCTTTAAGTTTTGGGTCAACTTCAAACGACCATAACTCTTGGTACAAGAGGAGTTAGGTGGGCTACAAGTTATCAAATGAAAGGTCTTTGAATTATCTTTCCAACGCCACTGAGTTTGCTAAATTTTGAGTGTCGGTCACGTCCAGGGTGTAGACTCGGGTCGTGACAACTAGTGCCTTGTTTGATACTCTTTTCTAACCTATGTATAACTAATGCATGCATTAGTTATACGCTCTATTTCGTATTAAGGTATTTATTACTAATACCATGGATTTTCATGTGTTAGCAGTGCAATTTGCATGCATTAACTCAATTAAAGACCCAATTGTCCCTCAATATCTTTTTTATATCTTTTTCACCATAATAGTGGAGGGTATCTTTGTAAATAATTTTTTAATGCAATACATTCTATTTCTAATGTATCAAACCAGACAATGCATAAGCATAATCTATGTACATATAATGCAAGCATAACTAATGCATACATTGCTTATGCAAGCATTACTGATACATACTATTTAACATTATTTTTAGAGTAAATTTTAGGAATGACAAACATAAAAATCATATTAACGCCCTATAGCTATATTTTTGCTATTTGCGGTCCATAGCAAACACAATTTGCTATGGAACATCTGATTTGTATAAATAGCATGCATCTGATTCGCAGACATCTGATTTGTATAAAATTGCGGCGATTTGTATAAATCGAGCGTCTGTGTCTATGAAAATTGTGTTGGTATATGTATATGTTCTTTATGTTAGGCTAGAGTGACGAGCGAGATTAGGATAGAGAGGAAAGAAGCAAGCGAGAGAGAGCAGAAAGTGGAGAGAAGTGAATTGTATATGTATATTGGTTAGATAATCGTATATATGTAACTACTATGTAAATGTATCAATGATTGTATTTGTATATCTGCATAAAATTTAAATTTGTATACAATTGAATCGAATTACAACATTTGTATTTGTATATCAAATCTCTCTCGCTTTATACAAACACAACTTGTACATTGTATTTGTATAAAGCGAGAGAGAAAGGTAAAAGAGAATTGACAAGGAAAAATTTGTAATAGTATAATTATAAGTGTATAGGACGGAGAGATATGTATTTGTATATACAGTCTCTCTCACTTTATATAAACACAATTTATACATTTATATTTGTATAAAAGTGAGAGAGATGAGGGAGAAAATTGAGAGTGGCGAGTGAGATTCAGGGGAGAGATGCGAGAATATATTGTGTTTGCTACGAATTGAAATTAAATGAAACAATAATATCATATATATTTTGAATTAATAATTTATTATAATGCACAATTTTTCCTGATTTTTATACACACTACCAAATGACCCGTAAGAATGTAGAGAGAAGGAAGGGGCGAATATTGAATACGAGTACTCTAGAGGTGCCTGCCGACAAAAGTTTGTAATTTGTGTTTTATTTGCAAAAAAATAACATAAACCTTAATTCACACTAGAGAGTAGAGAGAGCTCACCTTCCCCAATTTCAAATTTTGTCAATCCATAAAATCGCCCGCCCAACTCACATCCACAATCAGATCCTCCTCCATCGACTAATTTCCAATTTCTTTTGCCCTTTTACTTCTCTCTTTGGTTCTGGTGCAGGTTTAAGGTCTCTAAACAATACCTTACCTAGGGAAACTAATCTTCAATTCCTATTTTTTGATGGCAAACTCCGATTCTACTCTACCTGTTCCTGCTTCTGCTGCTTCTCCGCTCTCTGCAGTACATTCTTCAACTCTCTCTAGTTCATATGTGAAATGGTTTTTTCTTGTTTTCTCAGTTTTCTGTTTATCTAACAGCAAACTTATTGGATTGATTTTTTCTAGTTTGAAATTCTGACTGGGTATTTTCTGATTTGCTTTACCTTTTATAGTTTGATATGCGAAATGGGTTGTTTATTTCTTGAGAATTTTTTGTTAAATTAGCGTCAAAATGTCGTCTTTTTTCATGAGGTTGCTTTGTTTGTTTGAAATCTGAACTTGGGTATTTTCTGATTTGCTGTCTGCTTTACCCTTTTATGATTTGATATGCAAAATGGGTTGTTTGTTTCTTGAGAAATTTTTATTGAATTAGCATCAAAATGCTGTCTTTTTTCATGGGGTTGCTTTGTTTGTTTGAAACCTGAACTGGGTATTTTCCTAATTGGTTTTTTTGTTGATCTGTATTTGGTAGAGGAAGGAGAATGTGGTGCCGGCTAGCTCCAAAATTAAGGTACATATTTTCTGTTCCATTTATGTAAAGGTTGGGATTTGGCTATTGATTTCTGTTAAACTTGGTAGCTGAGGATTTCGGTTATGTTTTACTGATAGGAACTGACTGAATCAAGGCAAGAGCTGCTCAATAGGATTCAGAGCTTGAAAACAGTAAGCTCATGTTACTAGCATCTCTAGAGTCTGTCTATTTTGTTTGTTGCTGTTGATGGTAGTTTACTATTTGGCTTCTTTGATGTCTAGGATCTTCAAAGCTGGAGATATAAGTTGGATGGCCAAGTAAAGGTCTATCGAGATGTAAGTACACCCTTCTTTCATTTCCATTAGCTGTTAATGGATTTAACTGACGTAGTGTGAAGTAAATCAACTTTACTGTGTACATATGATTCATATTTAATAGTTTTGACAAATCATGAGGTCCGACTTTGGAGTTGGTAGGCAGTGATAGTTGGTTTGTTGCTTGGTTTTCTCTAGTGTATGCAGAGGCGAATTTAGGATTTTCAGAATATAGGTGCACCACTAAAGTAAAAAAAGAGAAAACAATGCATAATTGATCTCTTGCCCTCTAGATAAATAACTCAACGTTCCACTTAGTGCACCAATTTGCCTTCTTGTTGCATAGGTGTCAACTAATAATATTATACCAATTTTAGAAATTACATAAAATACCTAGTTTAACAGAGACCACAGGATCACGGCCCCATTTTTAACATGTAAGTTCACTCCTGAGTGTATGTGAAGCTTTACTTCTATCTTCCTGGATTTAGAAAAGTTGCTACTTTGGTAAGTGCAGTAGAAGTATGGAGTTGCCGATGAGAATCTTTCATTTGACATTTTAAACAAATTCTGGTTGAAAAGGTTGTATTGGAATTTAAAAAACTGATGGATTTCAGTCGGCCTTCAAAATTTGTGTATTCTTGGAGAGCTGAAACACCTGATAGCTTTTTCCTGGAAATGTGAGATGATTGGATCAGCAGTTGCATTTAGAAATATCAATGTGAGACAAGAAATTTGTGAAAGGCAGGAAACACAGGCTAGGAGAAAGGTCAATATAACTGAAGAACAAAGATATAAGATACTCTTACTTGGACATTATTTTTCTTTGATTATTCATTTGAGACGTGTATGACCAATAAAAGAGAGGCAAAGCCCAAAAACAGCCCCGCCCCCCTGCTAGCAGCATTCAAGCGAGGCACAAAAATCTGCTTGGTAGATTGAAGAAGGCTCCTCTCAAACAACATTTGTTCTCAGTCTTTTTGGCTTTTATACCTGGAAGCCTTGTACTTCTTAATCTTATCCAGACACTTACAAGTTTCTGTTTTTTCTCCCTTCTACCAGGAACTGTCGGATCTCAAGAAATCACTGAATGTTGAAGTGGAGCAACTTAGATCTGTGAGCAATGCTCTAGTCAGTATATTTTCATGATCTTTTGAGATTCAATTGAGTATTTAATAAATCAATCATTTCTGAACCAGGAATTTCAAGAGTTAAAAACAACTCTTCAGCAACAGCAGGAAGATGTTACTAACAGCTTAAGAAACTTAGGGGTGAGTTATCTTATGCTTTTTACTCCCGTTGTTTCATTTTACCTGGCCCCTATACTAAAAATAGATGTTTCATTTTACTTGTCCATTTTAGCAAATCAAGAGAGTTTTATTTACTTTCTTCCCATTCTAGCCTTGGTATTAAATAACTAGATAAAGTAGTAGACAAATTTAGAGCTTCAAAGCATCATTAATAAGGTTAGTTTAATAACATACAACTGTATTTTAAAGTTTTCATAAAGGGGTTTGTCAGGTCAACAAGAGTCACGGAGGGAGTAACTCTTTGAATTATGGATTCCACCGAGTCCCATCCTGAATTCCTGATAACATTAACATTATACTTCTTCGTTCCATTTTATGTCAGTGACCATCCATTGATTTTAACATATTAATTTGACTTATGTGTAATACTTGTAGAAGTGGTAGAGAAATATTTAAGTAATGGTTTAAAACTTTGGCTTCATAGAGAAAATGTTTCATCAAAGTTTAGAATATGAGCTTTATAATTTGTGAAAATTCTAGTTGTTAGTAAAAAGGTGTCAAGCATCTGCGATGACCTAAAATGCAATCAGTGTCATATAAAATTGGACGGACGGAGAGAGCAGTTGTTTTACTTTAAATTGCAAAAGAAATTCTGATTTTTGTTTGTGGAACTACCTACAGCTTCAGGATGCCTCAGAAGAAACAAAAGAGGCTGAAGATGTCAAGCCTGATAACAATGAAGATACTGCTCAGGATTTGCCAAAGGACAATGGTAAAGACACCGAGGAGTAGGCTGAGTTACGTGCATCCTTTCCCTAAACGTTCTCATCTTCTTCGATGAAATATGGTTGGGCATTGTGTGCTAGGTTAAGAAGTGTTCTCTTATTCTCATTTATGATGAGATGAAGTCTTTCATTGAATTAGCTAGGTTTGGTGAATGACTTCCTTTCCTCCCAGCTGTTAGTTCAAGGATATTAGTTGTACTGCTATTGACTTGCAATTTTCATGAGGGGTAATCTGATGGATCATTTAATTTATTGCACGAAAGTCACTAAACTACATATCTTGTAATTTAGAAGTCACTCAACTTTGGGTAGGTGCCATAGAAAGTCACTAAATAAGGGAAATATCAAACATAGACGTTTGAATGGGAACTTTGATAATTACTTCAGAATGCAAAATCTAAACTACATATTTACATGCTTGAGCTGTAAACACTCTCAAAATCTCTATGATTCTCTCCCAGTTTAATCGGTCTATAAATTATTAAAACTGAAGTAAATATCATATATATATATATATATATCAGTTTTGGTTCGATTGTTTAGTTATTAATCATACATGAAAATAAAATCAAAAAATAAGGTGGGGGAATAGAAAAACAAATTAGTTAGCAAACAGACACTTGCCAACATCAACTGTCATACTGTATTTTTTCCTTTCAAGTGAGTCTTTAGTGACAGTGGAGAAAATGAAATCAAAATGGGAAGAGCAAAAACTGAATCATGCTGCCTAGTTAATTAAATTAAATCCCCTATAAATTTATAAATGAATTTTGATGAAAATATATATAAGATTTTTAAAATTGTTCATTAAAAATTATATATTATGTATATCTAATTATAAAAAATATGTATATAATTTGTTGGTTTGGTAAATCTCTTCAAATTTTTTAAAAAACAAATTCAAAACCAACTAAATTGATTTGGTTTGATTTCACCCAAACTGTGAATACCCTTAGGGGTTGTTTGGACCTGGGTAAATTTGTACATGTATTGGTAATGTGGATATTAGTTATGCATGTATTAGTAATGTGGATATTAATTATGCAAGTATTAGTAATGTGGATGTTAGTTATGCATGTATTTGTTATACAAGTATTAGCTATGCATGGTTTAATTATGTGGATTTTAGTTATGCATAAATTATTCCTCTAGATGCTAGTTTTTTATATTAAAAATTAGCAAAATTATATATTTTTTAAATTAAAACATTTCCTTGTAATTATACCCTTTCCTTTTTTTACTTTGTATTTAAGTCAAAATATTTCTTTAATTATGTAGAAGAAGAAATTAGTCAGGTGGGAGTGATAAGGGTAATATTGTCATTTTAACTTTTTATTCATGTATTAGTTATGCACGTATCAATAATTCCACCTTTTACTCCGCATAAATAATACACAAATTTCCTCATAACTTATACAAGTATTAGTTATGCGAATTTCAAAATTGTCAACCAAACGTCGTATTAATTTTATACATGAATAACTTTTTTCTTATCCACCTACCAAACGTTGTATTAATTATATACATGAATAACATTTTTCTTATCCACCTACCAAACGCCGTGTTAATTATATACATGAATAACTCTTTTCTTATCAACCTATCAAACGTCGTATAAGTTATACGGACTCTAATACATGGATAAGACTTGTATTATACAGCTACCAAACGACCCCTTAGTCTGCATAGTCACTCCCATAAGATTTTGCAATTCTTGTGACAATAATGTTCAGTTTCTGGTTTACACAATTAAATTCTTTTTGTAAGGTCATTTGTAATTCTTCGATTCCGCGCGGTCGATTTTCTATTAATAATTTTGGGAATTCCATAAAGATTATGACCTGGATTAGATCGATTCTTTTTTGAATCTCTACACGTGCAATTCCCTCGATGCCAGAGGACGTTCTCATATTCTTTTGTATATAATTCTTGATACAATCTTTTATTTTTTGTATCTTCTTGTAAATTCTTAGAATAATTTTTGGGTTGTGAAAATCAAAGAGAATGATGACCTTGGGTTGTACCTAATTTGAAACCAAGTGGATTTATTTTCTCATCTTTGTCAAGTTAGCTTTCATGGTCATTATCCTCAAAAATATAAATTTACAACTGCCATATCATTAAATAAGAACCAAAAATTATATTTTCAAAAATAGTGACTATGAAAGTTAACTTGACAAAGTTAAATGACTTTTGAAAGCCAAACAAAGTTGCATGACTATGGATAACTTTTAAAAGACAATGCAAAGTTAAGTGACTATGAAGGCCAATTAGCCAGTGACATTTAAACTTCTAACTCTCATATTTATCTCTAAAATACAAACTTTATTTTTCAAAATCAAACAAGTATATTCTTTGAAACTAAAAAAAATAAATTTAAAAAGTCAATTTCATATAAGTGTAGACATTAAAATTTTGTGGACTCTACAAGACATGATTGATTTCAGTAAGAATTTTTGGAGGTTACTCAATTCTATTACCTAGTTCATGTATATATAAAAGGTATATTATATTCCCTTGAAAAGTCATCTCAAAATATTTCATGAACTCTTGGGTGTTTATAAAGATCAAAATCTCAAAATAAATTCTGAAGTATTCATAAAAAGATCAAAATATCTCATAAACTCTTGGAAATTCATAAAGATCAAGATCTCGATGTTTTGGTTATTCATAAAGAGATCACAAAGACGTCAAATATTGTTTGTCTCAAAGAAATCTCGAAATTCCATAAACTCATGGAATAAACATAAAGGGATCAAGATGTGGCCTCCTACGTTCGAGAAATACGTCTCTAACGACCCTTGACTCATGGAGAAATCTTAAGAGATAAAAGAATCAAGGGATCAATAGATTCGTACTCACAATCTTGATGAATAAAATTATTTCTTCATATTTTTTTGTGATTGTAATTTTTTTTTTCTGTCAGTTTAAAATTTGCTGCAAACAAATATGACACGTCTAGTGGGACTAAGTCTAACCTTCATCTCTTCTCTCACAAATCATCTTTGCAAATCTAAAACCCCAAAACCATAAAGGTGAAAAAATGAGTACTTCAAATCTCATCTTTGAGTTTCATCAAGTCTACATTCCGATAAGCCTTGAAGCAGTAAACATCATTTTTCCACATTTGCGATTTTGTGGCTTCAGATCTAAGAATTTGATTTGTAAAGAGAGGAGAGGAGAAGGGTAGATTTGGTCCCATTAGGCGTGCCAGTTTATTTGTAACAAATTTTAAACATATGAAAAATAAATTAACCATAAATAAAATATAAACAAACACGATTTTATTGATAAATACGTGGATACAAATCTATGTCTCCCTTGATTGTTTTCTCTCCTAATGTTTTTCCATAATTCGAGGGCCATTAGTGACATATTTCTCTCCTAATATTTTCTGTAATTTGAGGGTCGTTAGTGACGTATTTCTCAAACTAGGATGATTAAAACTTGATCTTCATAATTCGCGAGGGCCGTTGGTGACTTATTTATTGAACTAAGATGATTTGAGTTTGATCTCTTATGAATATTTCATGAATTTGCAGTATATAAATACCCAATAGTTTATGAGATATTTTTTAGTTGACTTTTCAAGGAAATATAATACCTTTATATAGACATGAGCTAGAATTTAGGATTGAGTAGCCTCCAAAAACCCTAAAGTAAAATAGAACTGCTTGTAGACTCCTACAAAATTTCAATATCTATGATAAGATTTTAGATAAATTGACAGAAAAACTTTTCTCATCTCCAAAATATTAAAATAAAGACAAATTGTAATGTAACTTTCCTAAAATTATTTTTTAAAAAGAAACTAAACCAAAATCATGAATTAAATATTAATTAATCCAAAGGTCACCGAAATGGATATGAATGTTTGGTAAAACATCCTTGAATTGTAATGCCATAGGTCCCAACACAATACAACCCGTGAAGTCTGAATTTGATTTGAATAATGACAAACTTCTATGCTCACGGGCTTCTAACTCATGGTTCTCCTCATTCCACCCCTACCTACCTTTTCCCTTTTTATCTCACTCTCTTTAATTCAATGTTTTGTACAAAAATAACTAGCCTCAAAACACTAGAACATGGAACAACAAACAATAACATAATTGAAATTGAGGTGTATAATTAAGAGAGATAATATATTTTATGTAGTGAACGTTATTATTTATTATTGGTAGATGCTTGAGAACATGGAACAACAAATAATAACATAATCCTGTAATTTCATTGGTGAGGTTTAAAGATGATAGCACAGAGATAGACTGAAAAGTTATTTTCGATAGACCCCCAGCTTGAATAAAATATTTTCAAACATATTGAAAAAGAGAACACAAAAAGGAGAGCAGCATCAACAACAAAATAATGTGAAGTGATGAACAATACGATTTACCAAAAGAAATAGTAGTAATGATAACTTTAAAATGTGATAATCGAAGAACAAAAGGACATAGACGATAATCAAAATTGAAGAATAAGAAACTATGAGAATATTACTAATACTATTGGTCAGAAAGAAGATCAAAGTGCGACCACCAAGACTATATCTCGCAAGAATGCGAGACAACGCTCAACTACCAATTAACCTTCTACCCTAATCCACGATATCCAAACCCTCATGTCGGTCATGTCCTCGGTAAGCTCACCATGTGTCATGTCTAACCACCTCCCTATAGTATTTCTTTGGTCTGCCTCTACCTCTCTTGATGCCTGCCATTGTCAACTTCTCACACCTACTCATGACTAGGGCATGTATTTACACTTCTCCTCTTCACATGCCCAAACCATTTCAACCTCGTTTTCCCCATTCCGTCCACCAAGGAGGGCACTCCTACCTTGTCTCAAATATCTTCATTCCTAATTTTATCCCTCATAGTACGCCCACACATCCACCTCATCACCATCATCTCCACAATTTTCATCTTTTGAGCATGAAAATTATTAACTGACAATACTCCACCTCATACAACATAGTCATTCTAACCATCACTCTATAAAACTTACTTTCTTATCAAGCTTGAGAACATACGCAAAAGAAAATTTCAAAATTTGAATTAAAAATGTCTAACAAAAATACTTTATCATGTGTTTAAATGTTCAATTAAAATAAACTGTAATTCGAGTATCTAAATGAAATTTACCAGCATATTTATGGAGTTATATATATGGTAAGCCTACATATATAATGACATGGAAAAAAGTAAGAATTCATATATAGTACTACTCTAACGTGAGCTATTATTGTTGTTTTATGTTTTTGCCCCCACAAGCTATCAAAATCTCTTTGGGTCCTCAGCTTATAAATTCAACAATTTAACTTGCAAACTCCACATACACTTTACTTGTAAACATGCCTATGAAAGGAAGCAAAGTGGGAGTTTTGGGTATGGTAGTTCTAGGACTACTACTTATAGTAGAATTTACAAGTGGATTGAGCATTTGTAAGATGAATGACGATGGTTTGACATCATGTAAGCCATCAGTAACACAGCCAAATCCAGTGAGGCCATCTGCTTCTTGCTGTGAAGCCTTGTCAGCTGCAGACTTGCGGTGCTTGTGTTCTTATAGGAATTCATTCGTATTGCCCTCTCTTGGAATTGATCCTGAACTTGCATTGGCTCTTCCTACTAAATGCAATCTCACTTCTCCTCCTAATTGTTAAGAAAAACTAAATAGAGGTCTTCCATTTCTTCCCTAGTACTACACCCCTAGCTAGCTTCTTAATTAAACTACTTTAATTTTGTTGTTGTAATTCAATTTATGTTTGATTTTGGGACCTCTATCCATTTGAAAAGGAGTGTTAAAGACTTCGTTTGTTTTCGTTAAGATTAATATGTTTGAATCTATATGATTAAGATGTCGTCTCTAGATGTGAACATTGAATGATTAGGATAGTTTATTTTTCAATATTTCAATTTGCAAAATTTATTTATTTCTAAATATACTAATTCAAATAAAAAAGTAATTGAATATTTTTTTTAAAATGTAATATTGATGTTCGGTAGGGATGGGTGGAGATGATTTGTAGTGGTGTGGTAATGATTGATGTTAGTGGCTAGTAATAGTGGCGATGATAGTTATAATGGTAGGTGGTTGGTATTGTAGTGACCTGGTGTGATGATGGTGGTTGAAAGTGATGACGGTGGTGGTTATATTGGTTAAGTTGGTTGATGTTAGTAGTTAATAATATTGATGATGGTGGCTGAAAAAATGAGGTAGATGATGATGTATTGATGATAGTTGGCAGCAACGCTAGTTGTGATGGAGCGTGGAGATGATTAATAGTAGGGATTGACTACAGTGGTGTTGTGATCAAAATAGCACGGCATCATGAGGAATCTAATAATTACAAATCGAGAGGAAAGAAAAATATTGTGAAAGATGCCTAATCTTTGATATGCTTTAGTCAATTGACTTAAGTATGAAAACATTTTAATATAAAAAATATTCTAAAGAATAGATTTTTCTCTAAACAAAACTCACTGAACAATCATATTGTTATTGCTACTGTGTCATGTATTAAAAGATCATTTATTTATAAAAGTCCAAAACTTCTCTTCAAAGATAATGATAGATATGGAAGAGTTCCTTTTCACCAATAAAATTGGAAGGAATTAAGCTCGAATATTTATGCGAAAGTAGACATACGTACTTCTAAGTTTGATTGGATATATTATCATCACCAATTACCTTAGCGATTTCTTATAAAATCACTATGAAATTTTGTATTTCTTCACAATAACTACACCTTTTTCGAGTGAGTACTGTTGTGAAAGATCGATTACGTATTAAATGTGAAAGATCGAGTACGTATTGAAGAGCCTAAATATGAAATTTTGGGTGATTTGACGTAGTTTTTGAAATATTTTTGGATGAATTTGATCTTAGATTCAAGAAAGAAGATAAAGTTATATATATATATATATATATATATATATATATATATATCTA